CAACACCACCACCACAGCCACCCCAACAACCACCACCACCACAACAACTAACACCACCACAACCACCACCCCCAAATCCCTACCCGAACCACCTCCACATGTAACAGCATAATCTCGCTAAGTGTAATTACTGTCACCACTTGTTACCCCCCCCCCACACCCCCCCCCCCACACACCCTATTTCCAACAGAAGACTACGACTCTCTCAGCACTTAACGCACACACACACACACACACACACACACACACACACACACACACACACACACACACACACACACACACACACACACACCGCCGCACTTACAAAGAAAAGGTGCGCTTGAAAAAACGCACAAGGAGGAGGAGGAGGAAGTAGAGAAGAAGGAAGAAGAGAAGGAGGAGGAGGAGAAGGAGGAACAGGAGAAGGAGAATATAGAGTGCTGGGAACAATAACACAGAGAACACGCTCCAGAGAACACGCTCCAGAGAACACGCTCCTACACCTCCTGGTCGTACTCATATACACTTCACAACTGGACAATAATATTGAACAAATACTCGCGGACCGTCAGTCCAAATCCACAAACAGTTGCTCAGCACCTGACTTAATGAAGTCGATCACTAAGCGCACTTAGGGAGGACACACTCCGGGTATTCAGCGCACTCATAAACGAACAAACCAGCTACTGAGTGCACCCGTGTTAAGCGACCATTGTCCCTCGGGAGAGTGCGGTGAGGGCACGAGTGTCATGCGCCACGGAGACCCCACTGTTGACGTCTCTGACATACAAAACAGGTCTTTATGGCTATCCGCAGTCAGCTCTTGTTGACTGCGGGCAAGGGGCCGCCTCCCGACCTCCGCCAGCTGCTGCTGAAGGAGACCATTACCCTTAGTGCCTGCAGGGGCGGCTGGGTGTTCTAGCGTCCCCATTACACATATTTCTTTACGTTTCAGACCTCGCAAACCATTAGGAGTATAGCTGTGAGAGTATGCGTGAGCATGTTAGCGGGGATTTATCTGTAGAGGGTTCTAGTAGGGCTTCAGCTCCCCAGGCCCGGCTTAGGAAGGGAAGGGAATTATCAGCGGGAAAGCGCCAAGCCATTATGACTATGTAGCACTGGGAAGGGGTCTGGATAAGGATTTGGGATGGGAAGATTTGTTTTTAAGTCTACCGTTTATTTATTATGTAATACCTCTCTCGAGGTGATTTATCTTGTCTTTGCATGCCGTGTTCTCTCACTTACACTGTTTATGAAAGCTTTCCTGTCTTCCTGGGGGGGCGTGGGTACCGAGCAATACTAGTCAGAGTGGTCCAGCACAAGCCATCTGAATAGGTAGTGCATTGTAGTGGAATGCCTTCATTTGAACGTTCTCATAATCCACAATATTATATGTTTTTCTGGTTATGTTTGATTTGTTACGTAATTAAACGTTAGGTTGTCTAATATCATTGTTACCTGATCCTTAATGTGTCGTATATTCTGCTTCTGTCAAGACATTCTGCTTGTGTCTTTTACCCTGTATTATGCTTTCCTAACCCTTAACATGTCTAAGTATCTGGAATTTATCACTCATCAAAATCGTGTTATGTTATGCTACCCCAGTTGAAAACTTTACTGATTTCACCTTGTGGTTTTCAGTGTTTTCTATAGAGGTAATTTTTCGTGCTGATTTTTGTATCACCTCCAAAGGATCGCACGACTTGCATTTTTGTCTGATAATAAATATGAGTCGGGCATTCTGTTGGTCCAAGGTTGGGCGCCAGACGTATGGTGCTACCCTCACCAAACTTTGCTGGGAGAATGGTCTGGCGTACTGGACAGACATAGGCTTATCAGGGTCGGCCTAAAGTAAATACGCCAAGAAATATCATCCTTCAAATACCCTTTCCCCACTGTGTGATTTTCATGGTCTGAAATTAAATCGCGGATGCGTTTTCCATAGAGTTTATCTCACATTTTAATACTTTACTCGAAAATTGGGAGATCCGTCACCTGCAGCCACCTGCCACAGGTAACGGTAACGCAACCTGATCCTGGCAACCACTGTGTCGCACAGTCTGGTCGACGTTTTGTGCTGCCCATAGATATAGATCTCCCAATCCTGAGCACTCCAGGTGAGCAGGAACTGCGGCACGATCTCCCGCACTATATCACCGAATGCCCAGTTATTAGACCATTCGGACCAGTTGGCATGAGGTACTGGAGCTTTGCAATTACTTTATTCACTCTCGTATTCTTGAAGATATCCTCACAGTGTACCCAAAATTTGTCAGTGCAGGCTACTAAACATATGGCCCTGTATGACTAACCATCCTGCGAGATGGGGACTTTTAGTATCACTGCTGCCTTATTCACTCTTGTGTTGATGATATCCTCAAAATGCAATCAGGATCTGCCAGTGCAGACTACTTATCACATGCCTCTGTATAACTAACCCTCCTGTGTGATGGGGATTTTTTAGCATCACGTAGCTAGCTTTTTGACACTGTACTTCCCTTCATATAGTCTAGGGTAGCTGCACAAATGCAGATTACATAATGTATTAATAAAAAAAATTACTCGAAAATGATGAATCGGATATATTCGGCTTACAGTGATGTAGATAATGAATAAGGAAGACGGTTAAATTATGAAGATAGCAGTGAAGATGGTTATAGGGATAAAGATGGTATGTAGCAAAGATGTAAGTTGAAGCTATAAGATGAGGGTGAGAGGGGGGGGGGCAGGGGGGAAAATGAGTTGAGAGTGGGGGCGGGGGCAATGATGAGGGACAGGAGAAACATTGGAATGATGAGGGGAGGGGGGAGAATGGGATGTTATGAGGAGAGGGGAGATGAAATGGAGAAGACACGGGGAAGGGAAGCTTCACTTGTACCTAAACGAGTGGTGTGTGTGTCCTGTAGGCAACACTGGTCTCTCTCTACACTCAGCCTCTACCTGTTGCAGGTGTGTAGTGAGGTGAGGTAATCTCTGGGTGATCGGTGATCAGTACGAGGCTACACAATGTCACGATAATAAATGAGAGCACAGTACTAAGAGAGAAACTGAGCTCTTACAGCTCGCAGAAGGCCTGTACGGCTGGTCCTTGATCTCTGGATTCATAGCTGTCGTGCTGGTCCTTCAGCGACCTCGTGTGGTATCTGTGCACATCAACGGATGGGACATTTAAGTAGGGTAGACAGGCTCACAGAAATGGCACTAAGTGGTCCAAGAGCTGTAGACAGACTGCTGGACAGGTCACATGGACAGCAGATGGGCAGCGGGTCGCGACACTAAAACTGCCCGGAGCTAATTTCCACAGCCAGGGAGGAGCTACTAAAATGGACGCAGCTGTCCGATGTTCGCTTCTACGTGGACGTGAAGAGTGCTTGTCAGAGTGCCGTCATCCAGGAAGCAGATGTTGAGCTCGCTGCTCAGTCTGCTTGAGACTGCACGAACTGCTAAGTACAAGAAGAAGGGTACTAAGGCCTCCCTGTTGAATTTCTTCTTCTGCGCTGACTTTGTGTTCCCCAAACAAGAGCATTGAGTCCTTTCTGTAAAACGTGCTGAAACATAAGGAAGAATGCTTGGACAGTGACTCTTGAATTGCTTGGAGAAACAACTTCCCCTTTGACCCAGTTGAAAGCATTTTTTAAAATCTAATTAAACTACTGCCTGAGAGAGAACTGATATAGGCTCATGCAGCATGAGCCGCTGCTTCGCTGCCTCGAGGGATCCTAAGCCCCAGCTGGTTGCGTTTACAGCATGTTGAGGTCTGACCCCTGTGTAGTCCCCCTGTGTGCCCCCCTGAGGAGCCCTGGGGGAATGAAACAACTGTTTTATAAACCCCTGACACTCAGGGGATGAGCGGTTCCTGGGTTGTGGGGGAGCCTGACCTGTGAGGGAGGTCTTCCGTACTGCACTTTCGGGGAGGTCATTTTCTCTCAGTGCTTGCGATGTGGTTTCATCTCTGGGTAAATTGTGTCCTCAACTGTGATCAACCTGATTGTATCCACTGTATTGCCGCCTTCAATTTTGACCTGAACACTTCATTTCCTGCTGAGACAGGAAATGAAGAATGGTCTTACGTGGTCTGCCACTTGTTTGCGCTGGTTGAGGAGGCGGATCAGGTTTGTCAACTCTAGACTGCTCCCTATATACTCTCTTGACCACAAGGCTATAGCGTCTGGCTTCCTCTGTCTGGAAACACACAAACATGCGTTGTGAAAAAGTAGCAAATTGCGCCAAATTATAATGGTGTGAGGTTCATCAAGGGTGTTGGACGCTCTGTTGACTGTTGTGATCAGGTCCGTATATTTCCCCATGATGGGCGGGATGCCTTGGGCGTGTGGGGGAAAGACTTCTGCTTGATGTTGCTGTAATAGCCTCCAGCAGGCCGTCTGTTGCATGATGCACTGATGCTGTTTGCATGCAACTCCCTGACCCAGGACAACTGTTGCATGCAACTCCCTGACCCAGGACAACTGTTGGGAGACATTTTTAACTCAAGAGGTGTTGTTAATGCCGATATTTCCCCCACAAACACTACACACTACAGTACTTGGATTGACTATCATTTACATAATAATTAATTGTGTCGGGGGACAGGTAGCCAGCGCATATATACATGTTAGGCCTATATCGCGAACCCCCCCCCCCACCCTTCATGGTCGAATTACATACCCTCCCCCTGGATGCAACCCCACAACATGCTGACTAATTCCTGGGGTGAACAGGGACATTAGGTGACATGAAACATGCTCAATCATTTCTGCCCCGCCCACGATACGAACCCGGAATTCCCGACTGTACTACCGGGCCTCTGAATTAACCGTTGTGCCCAGATTGAACCTGGATGGGGTTCTGAGAGTTCTTCAACTGCCCAAGCCCGACGAGGGCCAGGCTTGACTTGTGAGAGCTTGGTCCATCTTGAAGCTTCCCTCAGGCCCACATATCCACTACAGCCCGGTTGGTCCAGCGCTTCTTTTCAGAGGTCCATTTTTTTTCTTGAAGATTTCTTGTTTTGTTCCAGCAAAATGTCTTTACTTGCTGGAAAGATAATGAACAACCTGGAACCTCTGGAGGAAAATCAGAGGAAAATCAACAAGAAACATGATGGACTTCATAACTACTTTAAAGAATGTGAGGAAAGAGTCAAACCACCACTAATAGTTAGGTAAGCCAGACCAGCATTAAATCAAGGGTCAAGAACAGTGTCTGGAGGCGAAACGAAACCCTAATGAATACCCAAGTGCGATGAACAAGTACAGAGAAAAAAGTAGAATGGCGAAGCCAAAACGGCTCTTTTTCTGTTCGCGTATCTCTGCTGGGATTGGATACTCTTATAGAACAGTCTCCGTGGTGTAGTGGTAAGACACTCGCCTGGCGTTCCGCGAGCGCTATGTCATGGGTTCGTATCCTGGCCGGGGAGGATTTACTGGGCGCAATTCCTTAACTGTAGCCTCTGTTTAACTCAACAGTAAAATGTGTACTTGGTTGTAACAACGATTCTTCGCGGCGGGGATCGTATTCCAGGGACTTGCCCGAAACGCTACGCGTACTAGTGGCTCTACAAGAATGTAACAACTCTTGTATATATCTCAAAAAAAAAAATAAATAAAAAAAATAAACACTCTTGTGTGTTCTTAGTCACACATTTACAAAGTTAATGAGTTGAGGAATTGTCTGTTTGTGTACCGGGAACCTCTAACTGCTGGTCACTGTCACATCTCTTGCTTGATTCTATGTTCTAGTAAGAGTGTGCTATCTTGAGATCTTGAGGTTATCTTGAGATGATTTCGGGGCTTTTAGTGTCCCCGCGGCCCGGTTCTCGAGCAGCCTCCACCCCCAGGAAGCAGCCCGTGACAGCTGACTAACCCCCAGGTACCTATTTTACTGCTAGGTAACAGGGGCATAGGGTGATAGAAACTCTGCCTATTGTTTCTCGCCGGCGCCCGGGATCGAAATCAGGACCACAGGATCACAAGTCCAGTGTGCTGTCCGCTCGGCCGACCGGCTCCCCTACCGACCGACCGTGCTGCAGACAAGTGGAATACAATACTACTTTGTAGAATACACACAAACCAGTCACATCTCTTCTGTGGTCCTCGAACCGGCCTCTCAAACAATGTCTCATTTTGTACCTTATAATCACCAACTTACAAATAAATTTCTATGAAAAATAAGTTACTTTTAGCTTTCTATGAAAGCTAAAAGTTACTGTTACTGCTACAAGTCACTGTCACTGCTACAAGTCACTGTCACTGGTACAAGTCACTGTCACTGGTACAAGTCACTGTCACTGCTACAAGTCACTCTCACTGCTACAAGTCACTGTCACTGCTACAAGTCACTGTCACTGGTACAATCACTGTCACTGGTACAAGTCACTGTCACTGGTACAAGTCACTGTCACTGGTACAAGTCACTGTCACTGTACAAGTCACTGTCACTGCTACAAGTCACTCTCACTGCTACAAGTCACTGTCACTGGTACAAGTCACTGTCACTGCTACAAGTCACTCTCACTGCTACAAGTCACTGTCACTGGTACAAGTCACTGTCACTGCTACAAGTCACTGTCACTGCTACAAGTCACTCTCACTGCTACAAGTCACTGTCACTGGTACAAGTCACTGTCACTGGTACAAGTCACTGTCACTGCTACAAGTTACTGTCACTGCTACAAGTTACTGCCACTGCTACAAGTGTCTTTCACTGCTACAAGTCACTCTCACTGCTACAAGTCTCTGTCACTGCTACAAGTCACTGTCACTGCTACAAGTCACTGTCACTGCTATAAGACACTGCTACAATCACTCTCACTGCTACAAGTCACTCTCACTGCTACAAGTCACTCTCACTGCTACAAGTCACTCTCACTGCTATAAGACACTGCTACAAGTCACTGTCACTGCTACAAGTCACTCTCACTGCTACAAGTCACTGTCACTGCTACAAGTCACTGTCACTGCTACAAGTCACTGTCACTGCTATAAGACACTGCTACAAGTCACTCTCACTGCTACAAGTCACTCTCACTGCTACAAGTCACTCTCACTGCTACAAGTCACTCTCACTGCTACAAGTCACTCTCACTGCTACAAGTCACTGTCACTGCTATAAGACACTGCTACAAGTCACTCTCACTGCTACAAGTCACTCTCACTGCTACAAGTCACTGCTACAAGTCACTGTCACTGCTATAAGTCACTGCTACAAGACACCGCTACAAGTCACTGTTTAACAACAGCACCGTTTACCGGCTTCCCAAAGTGTCTCTGCATGATCCAATTCGCAAGTCACAGGAAAATCATTATGTAACGAATTATCATCCACTCAGAATACCGCTAATGAATTACTGAACTGCTCACAGGTCTCTCGAAGTTTTACTCCACTTCTCCAATTCCTGAATAATCGTGAATAATTCGATATCGCTACTCCACCGAACACGTGATTGACATAAAGGTTGTTATTCTTTGAATGATCACAGTCCGTGTCGGTCACTTGGGTCAGGAACCTCCATCCTGGCATCACATTCGCTTGATGGGATCCAGGGAGCCACTTCGACTCCGCTAAGAAGCTCCTTCGACTCGGCTGGGGAGCCCCTTCTGAAGAGCCTTGCCTGGCTGCAAGGCCTTCCAGGGGTTTGGTAGGACCGCTCGCTCTCGCTTCTCTCTAACCCTTTCTTACAGAACCATCCGAAGGTAAGATGAAGCAAACATACTCTTGACTGAAAGAGAAAGTATGAGAGAGAGAGAGAGAGAGGAGAGAGAGAGAGAGAGAGAGAGAGAGAGAGAGAGAGAGAGACGAGAGAGAGAGAGAGAGAGAGGGAGAGAGAGAGATGTTTGCCATGGAAAATCGGACGGGCTTGCAAATTTGTGGCAAAAGACTGGAGTTCATAGATGTAATTGACATTTTGGGAATGAAGTTCAACTCTTCAATGACAATTAAGAGCCACGTGTTTAACGTAGCCCAAACGGCAGCCAGGAGACTTACAGCTCTACGGCACATCTCACACATTGACAGTAAGGGATGCAAAACCTTATATGAAGCACAAGTTCGCTCCCATCTAGAGTATGCACCCCTTTTCCTGGCTCCCCCTGCCAATCATTCGTCAGACTGTTTGGACAAAGTAGAGAGACAGGCTAGAAGGCTTATCTCTAGTCTTGACCAAGTCTGGTGGGAACGGTCTGAACATCAGAGCAACACCGTCGTGACGTTGGTGGTCTTACTGTTATGTACAAGGCCAACATCCTCAAAGTTCCGCACCTGGCCCAACTTCGTGGACTAGTTGCTACCCGTAGCACTAGACTCTCAACCTTCAACAGTCTCATGCTGGAAGTGCCATTCTCAAGAACATCACTCCATCAGCGATCATTCACTCCTAGACTGACTCGCATCTGGAACTGGTTCGCTGAAACAGGTTGATACACGGGAGATCAAGTCAACACATCACATCATCGGTCTGTCTCTCAGCTGGCTATGGGCTCTTGCTCTTCCTTATATGATTGTTAATAAATGTTGTTAATGAAAAAAGTTTATTCCAATTGATGCATATAATAACCTCATGTAATAAATGAGTATCAAAGAGCAGGCATCAGAAGAGCTGATGTACGATAACAGCTCTTAGCTCTTGTTTGAAGTTTCACTAGTACGTCATTTGACACCCCTTATGAACCCTAGTCTTAGTAAAAAAAAAAGTGTGAGAGAGAGAGAGAGAGAGAGAGAGAGAGAGAGAGAGAGAGAGAGAGAGAGAGAGAGAGAGAGAGAGAGAGAAATAGTGAGGAGTGTGAAAATTAAATTGATGATTAGAAATGGGAGACAAAGGAAATTCAGAAAATTATTTGGGGTGGAATTCGATAAGTAATATATGAAGTGTAAAAGTGAGAAGATGAAGAGAGAGAGAGAGAGAGAGAGAGAGAGAGAGAGAGAGAGAGAGAGAGAGAGAGAGAGAGAGAGAGAGAGGGAGAGAGAGAGAGAGAGAGAGAGAGAGAGAGAGGAAGAAAGTTATATAAGCAGTCGTCTGAATTCTCATCCCATAAGTCTCTAGCAATCAAGCGAATATTTGTTTTCCTTCCCCTCAGTCTCTCATCCTGGTCTCTAGAATTGTGTGTATATATATATATATATATATATATATATATATATATATATATATATATATATATATATATATATATATATATATATATATATATATGTCGTACCTAGTAGCCAGAACGCACTTCTCAGCCTACTATGCAAGGCCCAATTTGCCTAATAAGCCAAGTTTTCATGAATTTATGTTTTTTCGACTACCTAACCTACCTAACCTAACCTAATCTAACTTTTTCCGCTACCTAACCTAACCTAACCTATAAAGATAAGTTAGGTTAGGTTAGGTAGGGTTGGTTAGGTTCAGTCATATATCTACGTTAATTTTAACCCCAATAAAGAAAAAAATACCTCATACATAATGAAATGGGTAGCTTCATCATTTCATAAGAAAAAAAATCGAGAAAATATATTAATTCAGGAAAACTTGGCTTATTAGGCAAATCGGGCCTTGCATAGTAGGCTGAGAAGTGCGTTCTGGCTACTAGGTACGACATATATATATATATATATATATATATATATATATATATATATATATATATATATATATATATATATATATATATATTATGTTTTCCATTCTTTGTGGAGATTTAGAGATTGTCTGGTTTCCCGACCCCTTTCCCGTCCTCCCCACCATTCCTCCCTCCCTCCCCCATCCCCTCATCCTCCCCATCACTCCCCACTCCCTCGCCCACACAACAGCCTCCGGCACCAAACAGCGCCAAGTCATACAGCTCACACAATGACCGGACCAAACAATTGACTCCGCCACACACGTGAGCTGCAGTTGACGACCTAACGAGGGTACGACCAGCACACGTCAAGTACCTCGTCAATAACAAAGGTATTTTCTGTATATATGGGAAATACTGGAAGGTCAGGTCTTAAATTATCACAGCAAACTAACAAGTTACTGGAGTGAATGATATGGAAGGAAATGCAGAATAGAACCAATGAGGAGTAGAGTTCCCATTGGCACAATCAGAGAACACTCTGAACATGTGTACTCACCTAGTTCTGCTTGCGGGGGTTGAGCTCTGGCTCTTAGGTCCCGCCTCTCAACTGTCAATCAAC